TTATTAAGAAAGAAACTTCTTTATTTTAAACAGCCCTGTCAAAAAGCCTTTGGTAAAGTGAAGATATGTTTGGCGCTGTGAATGATAACCTCTAATGTAACTGTTCTGCACACTTTCTCAAAGAAGCATTTATCATGCATGTTGTAAAGACAGGGGGAAGACCCTTACCAGTCCCTAAATCAAGTCCCTGTGGTGCTATGGGTGACCTCGGTGTGGCTGGGAAGCAGCTTTTCAAGGTCACGGACCAGTGAAGCCCATGCACCAAGAACGTGACCATCTGCCTATTTTACAATTCTGTGATCCCTGCCTCTTATTTATAACGAACAAATACCCAGATGTGGCATTACACAGATATTTTTCATCCAAGACTCTACCCAAAGATGCCTGGGGTTTGCCCATGGAGGAGCCCAGGATTCAGTATAAACTGGCAACCTCCACAGCCATCAATGGCCACTGCCCAGCACCTTGGCCATTGGATCCCCAGGAGGCGACCCTCCCGTGGCACATGCACAAAGCTCTGTCATCCCCTAAATGCACACCCGTCAGCTGGTGCCACCTGCTTGTCTTTGGTCTCGAACCAGCCAGCGCAGCCCCCAAAGGGTGGGGTGAAATACACTGTGCACCAGGTGAGCATCAGGCCTTCAGGACCGTCTCAAAGCACAGAACACTGCACCTCACAGATCCTGCTGCCAGCCGGCCCCTACCTCGGCCACGGCTGCGCTGCCTCTCTCTGCTCCAGCCTCACATCTAGGAAATGGTCATTGGAGAACCTACTTTATGCGATGGTTCTGAAGATTAAATGAATGCATGTATATAAAGCACTTAGAACAGTGCCTGACATTCTGTATGCATTATGGTGGAGCCTCGGTTCCCGAACTTCCTTCGTTCCGGCAGCCTGTTCGAAAACTGAATCCTGTGTTCCGATTAGAAATCATGCACATTGAATTAATCAGTTCCAGACACCCAGATGATTCCTTGTTTTGACCTTTCTTATATACAGTACATGTCTAATGTACTGTTTAATCTATAAATAGACATTTTAAAAACAAAGAGGACATGAAATGTAAATGAAAATTTAACAAAAAGGAAATGTACAGTAAAAAATGAAAATTTAATAGTAAGAAGCAACAAAGGCAAAAAAAAGAGAGAAAAAAATTCACAGCACAATTTCCTGAGATGTCAACGTGAGGCTTAGCAGTAAACTCTCACACTCACGCATTCTCTCCTCTGTTTGTTGCCTGAGAGACGTGTAACTGATCACACAGGAATCAGCATGAAAAGTCTGTCGGTTTAAGAAGTGAATTACGGGAGATGGGAAACATTTGAGAACCAAGGTCTGACTTTGTGTTTCAGTTCCATTACCTATACGTGTCCTGTTCACACATAGGTTTGACTATGTGATCAGCTAACTTTAAGGAAATATGCTCTATCCTCAAGACCAGGACCTGGTCTTCCCGCGTAACTCACCCCCCCTTCCTGACTCCACCCGCCCCTCCTGAGGCCCGAACACCGCTGTCTGCCAGCAGGGGCATTCCAGCTGGGCTGCGGCTACTGAACTCTCAGCACGTCAGGCTTTATAGAGCTGTGCCCAGAAGTTCCCAAGGAGCCAGATCACCCCTCTTCTGACATCCTCAGAAGTCAAACATGAGGCTGGAATGTCCTTCACTTATCTAAGACCTCATACTTCTATCTCTAGCTGAAGAGCCCCCTTTTTCTGGGAGCGCCCCGGATTACTCCAGCTGAATTCACTGGACTCCTTCCTCAACGCTCCACCTGCACACGCTTGGGACTCACTGGACTGTTCACTCTTCTACTTGACGGTTCTTTGGTTTACTAGCTTGTTTCTGCCTCCTACCATCAGAGGGTAAGCTCCATGAAAAAAGAGGCATCTTCTTGTTCACCATCGTATCCCTGCTGCCAAGAACAGTGCTAGATGACAGTAGGTTCAACAAATTTTGTAGAAATTCTGCACTGGAATTCCTACATGGGAGGTAGGCAGTATCCTTAGAGGGGCGGGTGAGGATAATGAGACTTCACACAGCAAACACTTGGCTTTTACTGAGGAGTGTAGGTTATTTTATTTTTTTAGAGAGTGAAGGAGAGAGAGAGAGAGAGAAACATCGATGTGAGAGAAACGTTGATTGGCTGCCTCCTGCACACCCCCTACTGCCCTGACCAGGAATCAAACCAGGACCTCTCAGTCCACGGGACAATGCTCAATCCACTGAGTCACACTGGCTGAGCCTGAAAAGTGTAGATTTATTGTAAATGTGGGTAATGACAAAGATTTGGGGAGAGTTAAAGAATTCTGTGGCACTTCTTGGCACCTGCCCCCCAGTTGTCCTGGTCTGGCTATTGGCCTGTCTGGCTTTCTTGCTGGATGATAAGCTTCTGGAGAGCAGTTCTTACTCATCCCTGTACCCTCCCAGCATCCATCAGGACCTTGTGCTCACCAGGAACAGAAGAAATGACTGAATGACTAAATGCATGCATGCATGCATGCGTGAATGAATGGTGAAACCTCTCTTATGAATGGCCTATCTGCTTTGCTCAGCAGATGTCAGGAGCCAAAATAAGTTCAGTTCAGTTTAAAACCAAGAACAAAGCTTTGAGGTCAGGGAGGGAGGGGGGAGCCAAGATGTGAGAGTGGGACCCGAGAAGGGCAGCCTGAGAAGCCAGAAAGCACAACCGGAAAGAGATAAGGCCGTCCTGATAGATGCTTTCCATGTAAAGGAGGTTCAAGTACACCGTGGATGAACTTTTGAGTTTCCTGTTTTTAAAACTTTCTTGTGATGAAGTTGGAACTGCACAATGACCCGTCAGCAGGGTGGTTTTGCTTGTCTGGAATAATCAGACACATGTGGCCTGGTCCCTGTGCAGAGTACAACAGAAACATGGGAGCTGGAAACCACAGAGTCAGCAGGCCTGAGTAGCAGGGGCCCTGGGTTCTGGTGTTGCTGATTCGGCTGGGGGAGCTGGGGAGCGAGGGAGCTTCACCCCCATGTGCCCACGGGCTCAAGCTGGGAAGCAGGGAAGCCACACCATGTCATCTCCAGTGTCCTTTGCACCTCTGAAAGTCTATGACTTATGTCCCGGTCACAGAGAGAGCCTTAGCATAAAAGTGAATTTTCCACGGTGAAAACATATTAGTTAATATATATATGAACTAAGGTAATTTAATATATGTAGAAATTTACTGATACAAATATTTTTTATCACGTGAGCATAACTGTTCCCCAGTAATCAGTTTAAAAATCATAATGATGATAATGGCAGTTATTCATAAATAAGAAAAGCAGAACACTTCTAAACCCTACTGTTCAATTACAATATTCTGAATTGTGCTCATAGTTTCTTCCATGAGGACTTAAGTAGCATATGTTGTCAATGTGAACACGTTCCTTTCTCTGTTAGGTGTTCTAAAGGGTCTAAAGGGTCTGACTGTTCTGTTACAGAAAACTAACTTTTCTGCATCTTGGTTCCCTCATCTATAAAAGCTGAAAGAGTGGTGAGTCTGAGTTTATCCATGTCCAAGACGTAAAAGGTTATGTCCTGTGATCCCTCACAGTTATTCTGCTTCTTCATCTGGGGACAGCTGGCAGAACAGATGAATCTCCTCAGCATCCTAGTGACCCTTCCTGAAATACAGTAGTCCTCCCTTATCCACGGTTTTGCTTTCTGCAGTTTTAATTACCCATGGTCAACTGTGGCCCAAAAAATTAAATGGAAAATTGCAAAAACAAACAATTTATACGTTCTAAATTGCATGCCATTCTCAGCAGAATGATGAAACTCATGCTGCCCGGCTCCGTGCCGCCCCAGACACGAACCCTCCCTTTGTCCTGTGTCTCCACGTTGTGCATGCTCCCCGCCCGCTAGTCACTTAGCTGTCTCAGTTATCAGACCACAGAGCTGGTGTCCAAGTGACCCCTATTTTACTTAATAATGCCATATTTACATAACTCTTATTACAGTGTATTGTTGTAATTGTTCTATATTATTACTAGTTATTGCTATTAATCTCTGACATGTCTAGTTTATACATTAAATTTTATCATAGGTATGTACATATATGAAAAAACACAGTATATACAGGGTTGGGTACTATCTGCAGTTCCAGGTACCCACTGGGGGTATTAAAATGTATCCCCGCTGTGGATATGGGGGGCTACTGTATATGGTGAATCGGCAACGGGGGCCACACTGCCCTCCCAGGGGGTCATGGCCATGTGTGGATGTGTGTGGCTGTCATGACAGCCAGAGGCAACCCCAGCACTAGTGTGCAGAAGCCAGCGCTAACACCCACACTGCCCTCAGCATCCTGCCCCAGGCACCAGCAGGTGCAGGGAACGGGTGAAGGGCAGGGCAAGAGCGGGACTCAGAGGAGGGGATGCGCACAGAGAGGGGGGGTGGGGGATGAGCGGGGCGGCGTTGCAAGGTCAGAGCCTCACTTACCTACCTTTTTCAGAGCAAAAGGAGGGGCTTGTTGGTCTAGAAAGGTGACTGTTCCTCTGGACCGTTGTAAATCACATGAGTCTGTTTCTGGTACCACTCTGCTTTGATATTTGCTCCGGCTTGCTGGTCAGTTTCCAGCCCCAAGCCCAAGATACAAGGAGGCAGGATGGCCACATGGTGTGTGTAATTCCTTCCCTGACCTACCTTTCTCCAAAGAGTTACAAGGCCCTGTAGAATGGGGTGGGCCCTGTATTGTCCTTGCTTTACAGGATTGGAAAAGATACCAAAATGCACATTTTGAAACAGCAGGCAATATGGGAGAACACATGTGTGCATGCATACACACACACACACACACACACACTAGCAGGGAAGCTTTCTGGCTGAAAAGAAGGTAAAACTTTTTTCTTCTTTAAAATTTACAAAAACCAAATTTGCCATGTCAAAGCGGGGCAAGTTCTTTGAAATGGAAAGGGTAGCACATAGACACACGGTACCACAACTTTTCACCCAGAGAACTACAAAGCAAGCATGCATATACATACCCGACGTGGGCACTGTCGCGGTACGGCAGCACTGAAAATATACTACAGAAGGATCTTCTGCCACTGATAAGGACTATTCTAAAAAATAAAAATAAAAAAGAACAAACAACAGACAAACTAAATGCAAAGACTCTTAAATGAAAAAAAAACTAAAAAAACAAAATCTCTAGCAATTAAGCACTCATGGAATTCACAGCGGTATTTGCACTCCCACCCCCTCCTCTGACAGATGGTGTTCTGCGCGCCTCGCAAAACACCACCTCAGCACAGCAGCACGCGCGGTCTCTCTGATCCAAACGTTAACATGCGAGACACGGGTGAGGGTCTCTAATGAGCGTCCATGAATCCCTTGTCTGGTGAGATTTGCTGGCTGTGGGCTGAGCATGCAAGATGGAGAGACACAGCTGTGAGTGTGGGGTGCCCAGTACTGAGTCAACAGCCATGCCACATGTAAACCCCTGATTTCTACTCTGCAGTATACAATGCAAGAGCAATGGTGCAGCCACGAGCAGGAAAGACACTCAGATGCCATTATGATCATTAGGTTTTTTTTAATATGCTGGCAGCACGTTAGGTTCTGAGAATAATTTAGGGGAACAATTACATAATCAGTCTTAGCCTCCATTCCTGCTATAAAGATACTACTGGAAACAGTTCTACATGATGCTCTTATGCAATCAAAGGCCACTTAAAAAGACATTTAAAAAAACTCTCAAAAGTACTCTCTTCCTGGCATCTGAGAATAACATTCGCGAAAGAGAATCACTGATGAAAAAAAAAATGGAGAAACGAGTGGAAATTAAAAAACAACATTCTTCCGTGTAATGGCAATACACATTGAAGCTTATTGACCCTTGTCACCTTTCCTTTCAATAACTGTAATAATAAAGCCAGGGGAAAACAGTACTACTATTGCATCAAGGTTTGGGATTTTGACTTTGTTTTAAAACTATGATTGATATTAAATTGCTTACACACTCAGAAAATTCAGGTTTCCTGGCATGGCGAATGGGCCCTCTGTCTGCTGACTCTTTTAGTCTCTCTGGTCTTCACACACAGTATTCCCTCCTGTGCCCATCACTCATCATGCTAAAGGACTTGCATACCCCCACTTTCAAGTCCCCTGCTGTTTCATGCCTGTCCTTTGCATGCTATTTCTTCTTTCTGTTGTGCCTACACGGTACGCCCAGTGAACTATTTATTCTTCGACACCTAGCTCAGAAATCACCTCCCCAGGGAGCATTCCCCGCCTTCACTGAGTTACTCATTCCCTTTTGGGTGCTGCTAACCATTCGCTGCTCCCCTCTCCTAGCAGTGAGCACAGGGTTCAGCACACGGCAGCCTCTCCACAAACGCAGTCTGGGTGGCGCTGTTTCAGAGCAGGGCTGCGTACCTGTCCCTGGGGGACAGAACTGTGGATGTCTGTTCATTCCACAGCCATTCATGTCTGCCGTGGCTGACAGGACCAAAGCAACATTCCCTGCTTCAAATACCAGTGTGGTCACCTTTGTATGACTTCAGGCAGCTTACTAACTCTTCTGAGCCTCAGTTCCCTCATCTAAAAAATAAGATAAAATTAGTCACTACCTTACTGGAATGTTTCCAAGAGCAAACGAGAATCTAGCAGGGCCCTCAGAGCGCTGCGTATAATATGCACTCAATAAATATAAACCACTTTTACTGGGACTGCCTTCTTGGGTCGAGGTAAGTTTTACCAGCAGAGTACTTAGACTGAGACCCTCTTCAGACCTCTGTGCTAAAAAACCCAGGCCTGCTCAGACACAGCAAACCATGCTCTGAGGACAGCTGGAGATGACATGCGTGGCCTGTCTATAAAAATGTACACGCACACAGAGTTCTCCTCTCTCAAGGGAGATACTTCTCGTCAGCAACCATAGACTCAAGCTCTGGTCATTTCTGCAAAGACATGGCGTCATATCCAGAGCAGGCTGCTAAGGACCGAAGGCCAAGGGTTAAACACATCATGAGCACACTACCCTGGCAAGCACCAACCTGGCTCCCTGATCTCACTCATGGAGACCAGCAAAGACCTGACATTGCGGTGCCCAAGTCAGCTTCCTTAAGCAGACATAATAATAGCTAATACTCATTGTCTATCAGACGCCAGATTCTAAATATTTTAATTAAGGAGGCACAAGGAGGTGAAATGCTGAAGGTGATGCACTAGCAGGTGTGCCGTGACCAGGGATTGTATTACCACTGTGTGCCTTGGTGCTACGCTCTGCTCTAAGACTCATGAAAGAGTCTGCTCCTGTGCCTTGGACTGGGTTCCCATGGACATCTTGGACACCAAGAAGTCTGCTTTCACTCAGGGTTTTGAGGGTGGCTTTCCAGCCCGGCCTGCAGGTCACCAGGTTGAGCATGGGGTGGGGACAAAGGGTGACTGATCATGACAGCAGCCATGGCATCAAAGCTGCTGGAGCCCCGGGTGGCTCTGTCCTCCCGCTCTGCTCAGCCTGAGCCCCTTTCCAGATGGTAGGAGACAGGTTCTCCACACCCACCACCACCACCACCACCAACCCCTGCTATCCACCAAGGAGAAAAGGCTGGAACTATTCCCTCTTCCCCGCATCACTCAACATCCACGTCTTCTGCAACACAGAGGAAAGAATGTGTTGAACAAACTCATCCGACTTGGTGTACTGAATTTTCGTTCCTTAGTGCTAATGGGTCCTTCCTTCCCACACACCAAACTTGTTTGGACATTTTTAATAGAACAAGAAAATAAGAGAATATAAATGCCTGTGAAATACAAGCATTCTTTCCAAAGCTTCAACCACAGTGTGCCCATCAGTAAATGAGCTGCATTGTTCTGCGAAATGAGTGCTCACACTGTGTGGTCCTCACCATTTTGGTCTAGGAGAGGCTGACAACATGAATCTCATTCAGAAAAACATGTTATTCTAATGCCTAGGTTAAGTTTAGCAACTATGAACATGGAATGCTTGCCAATAATTTGAGTGAGGTTGGTCCTTCTTCGGATGGCCATTCTCAAGCAGCTGGAGCAGGGAGGAGATAAGCAAGGACCACCGCATCGTTGGGCACACTCCTTCCATTTCTGGCCCACCATCTTGTAGCCTCTCACTTTTTGCAGGGACCAGAGGAGGAAACCTGAGCAGAGACCCGCACAGCAGCCCCACAGCGAGTTTGCTGCAGTTTACACCCCAAGGAACTGGAAATAACCATCAGAGCTGCCGAGAACACATCCTACATGTTTCCTGAAGTAGCTCTGGAATCTGGGAGGGACGGCAGGCCTGAGCCAGACAGGCAAATATCAACACGCAGCAAGCTCGAGTCTTCTGATTCCTACACCGGCAACTCCGAGCGGTGTGAATCTAAAGGCCAACTGCGGTGTCCAAAACCCAGAGGGCTCATGTGAATATGCAGCTTTGCTCTTGAGAAGCATCAGGGAACGACCATCATACTGCACATGCCCAAGAAAAGCAGACGCGTTGGCCTCCTTCAAGTGCTTGTGCATTTGCAAAAGAAGTAGATCAGGCGCTGGTGAAGAATGTGACAGCCAAACTCCATTTCCAGTGGGCCACGGAGACTGACCACCTCCCCATATCCTTCTTCTTTCATGCATAAATGGCATGCAGAAGCCCACATCGTTTCCCCATCTGTGACACTAACGGTTCACTTGGAGTCAAGATGACCAGAAAGCATTACACAGAAGATTAGGATTTCAAAAAAGGAATTAACTCCAGAGAAATGGGTCTTTAAGGAATTAAAGATCACATTTCCATACACAAGAATCTGTCAGTGAGGGAAAAAAAACAAAAATGTAAAATAAAAGGCTCCCAGTGCTGCAGCCCACATGGGAAGACTCCTTCTGGATCCACGATGTTTTCCAAACCCTTTCTGGAAGCACTGAGCGTGTACTGCAGCTGGAACGCCGTTTAACCTTCTTCATGGAGCTCATTTCTGTGCGTAGGAAAGTGTTTCTGGTAAGAGGGAACTTGCAGCTTCAGGTCACAAAGCTCGCACGCCACCAGTGAGATCCCGGAGGGCTCAGGACGGCCAGGAAAGGCTCGAGGGTCCCCACAGTTGACAGAGCACCATGGACCACTTTCACTGAATCTGCTTTCAACCCCTCGGCCTGGTACTGACAGTGTCTGAGCAGACAGCACCCAGTGCCAACCAGGACTCAAGCGTTCCGTCGTAGGCCAAAAACTGGCTTCTTGTTCCATTCCCAGAACCCTGGGGAGTCTCTCTGGGCTGTGAGAAGGTCTGAGCTCTTCCAGGTGGAATATTCCATTAGAGCAGAAATATTCTCTTAAGGACATAAAAACAAGCAGCCGACTTCAAAAGTTAGAGCAAAGAAAATCACATTCACAACAATGGAAGCTAAGTATAGTGATGCATGAACACATCCCAGAGGTGCCCATGGGCCAGGGGTCCACATTAGGTACTAGGCACACAGGCAGAAACACACTCTCAATTTCTGGAGTTCATCCCCACATGCCCAGGAAGCAAGAAAGAATATACTTTAAAATACTAGTGTCCTGGATTGAAGTGTGTTCCCCAAAAAGACAATTTGAAGTCCTAATCCCTCCAATACCTGTGAATACGACCTTATTTGAAAACAGGGATTTTGCAGATGGAACCAAGTTAAAACGAGGTGATACTGGATTCGGGTGGGCCTTTGATCCAATGACTAGATTTAACAAGGAGAGAGATTTGGAGCACCCAGACACACACAGAGCGGGAAGGCCCTGTGATGACGGAGGTAGAGGTTAGAGTGATGTGGACAGAAGGCAAGGACGCCAAGGACTCCCGGCAGCCACCAGAAGCTGGAAGAGGCCAGGAAGGCTCCCTCCTTAGAGTGTTCAGAGGGTGTGTGGCCCTGCAGACGCTGTGATTTCTGACTCCTGGCTCCAGAACTGTGACAGGGCTCATTGTGTTGTTTTAAGCCACCCAGTCTGTGGTACTCTGTGGGACAGCCACAGGCAGTGAACAAGGCCGCAGGCAGTCCCTTGCTTTCAGACTTCGGTCGGTTCCACACGTCACCTGCTCAGCAGGTGCTCTGTGCACTCCTGCTACACTGCTGGTGCACA